CATCCTGTGGTAACTAGGATTTACACAAGCTTCAGTCTGGTAACCGTAATAATTTCCTCTGATGTATGAATTAAAGATCTTATAATTTCCCCCATATTCATCTCTCATCAGTTCAAGGAGGCTAAAATCTATCTCTGGCTGTGGTAAAAACCAAGGAGGTATAGTTGGCAGAACTACTGTTGGAGAGTAATTCCTCTCCATTATACCCATTTCACTTGCCTTTTTCCTAACAACCCAACCAAAGCTATTTATTTGTCTTTTTCCATGTTCCCAGCATGGTTCAATAGCACTTATTGCAGGATGGTTATTATGTCCTTGTAAATTCACCCAGTATGTTGTCATGATTTGCTGTCTTCTTAGCTCCAATGGCATTTCCCCCATTTCTACCTGTAACGCTGGCACAGATGTTGTTTTAAAAGCCCCACTACATATCCTTAATGCTTGTGCTTGTATTACATCCAATCTTTTCAACAAGGTTTTAGATGCTGACCCATATACCACACATCCATAATCCATAACTGATCGTATTAAACCTATATATATAGTTTTCAAACTAGACCTGTCAGCTCCCCACTCTGATCCCACCAAACATCTAATCACATTTAAAACCTTTTTACACTTGTTTATGACATTATCTATATGTACCTTCCATGTGAGCCTAGCATCGAACCACTCTTATAAAAATTTGAATGACTCTATCCTTTCCAGCTCCTTGCCATATAAATACAGTTTGACCTCTGCTCCAATTTTTTTCCTTGTAAAGAAGAGTGTTTTTGTTTTTTCAACAGAAAATTTAAATCCCCATTCCAAAGACCACTGCTCCACTCTTTTGATTGTTTCCTGCAACTGTTTCACAACATATTCAACATTTCTACCTCTTTTCCACATTGCCCCATCATCCGCAAACAAAGATTTCCCTATACCTTGCCCAATATTATTATATACATCATCAATCATTATTGAAAACAACAGAGGACTTATAACGCTTCCTTGTGGCGTTCCATTATCCACCAAAAAACTTGCTGAAAATTTTTTTCCCACTCTCACATCTATCGAGCGTCCATTCAAAAATTTTCACCCATCTGAACATTTTCCCTGATATTCCTAATCTTTTCATTTTAATTAATAATCCCTCTTTCCATAGTAAATCATAGGCTTTTTCCACATCAAAATATACTGCTACCACTACCTCTTTATTCACTTGTGCCTTCCTCACCTCTGATTCTAAGCATACTATAGGATCCATTGTTCCCCTACCTCTTCTAAATCCACTTTGATAATTTGATCTGAGGTTCCTTGTTTCCAAATAATATGATAATCTTTCTGTGATCATACGTTCCATTATTTTACACATGTGAGATGTCAATGCTATTGGTCTATAGTTAAATGGATTGGTGGGTTCTTTTCCTGTTTTCCTAATGGGTACTATAACTGCTTTTTTCCAAATTCCTGCTAATTTCCCTTCCTGCCAAATCTTGTTATATAAATGTAAAATAAGCTCTAACGCTATATCTGACATATGGTCCAACATGGTATAGCAGATCCTTGCCAATATTATTATATACATCATCAATCATTATTGAAAACAACAGAGGACTTATAACGCTTCCTTGTGGCGTTCCATTATCCACCAAAAAACTTGCTGAAAAAGTTTTTCCCACTCTCACCTCTATCGAGCATCCATTCAAAAATTCTTTCACCCATCTGAACATTTTCCCTGATATTCCTAATCTTTTCATTTTAATTAATAATCCCTCTTTCCATAGTAAATCATAGGCTTTTTCCACATCAAAATATACTGCTACCACTACCTCTTTATTCACTTGTGCCTTCCTCACCTCTGATTCTAAGCATACTATAGGATCCATTGTTCCCCTACCTCTTCTAAATCCACTTTGATAATTTGATCTGAGGTTCCTTGTTTCCAAATAATATGATAATCTTTCTGTGATCATACGTTCCATTATTTTACACATGTGAGATGTCAATGCTATTGGTCTATAGTTATATGGATTGGTGGGTTCTTTTCCTGTTTTCCTAATGGGTACTATAACTGCTTTTTTTCCAAATTCCTGGTAATTTCCCTTCCTGCCAAATCTTGTTATATAAATGTAAAATAACCTCTAACGCTATATCTGACATATGGTCCAACATGGTATAGCAGATTTGATCTTTTCCTGGTGCAGTAAGTCCTGATTTACTAATGGCCCTTTTCAGCTCCCCTAACATGAAGGGAGAGTTAATAACATCATCCCTCTCTTCTTCTCTTTCCAACAATTCTTTATTTGCGTCACTTGTTTTTTGTCTTCCCCTTTTCCCCTCTTCTAATATATTTCCAGAACTGTGAACCTCAACCAATGCTTTAGCTAACATGTCTGCTTTCTCTATATCATTGCTAGCCACCACCCCTCCATTTTCCAATACTGGGTATCCCCCCTCTCGTCTTATTCCACTCATTTTCTTTATCATTCCCCAAACTTGATTAATTGTTGTGCTTCTTCCTATTGAATCACAAAATGTTTTCCAATATTTTCTTTTAGTTTCTTTAATAGTCTTTCGAACCACTGCTTGCATTCTTTTATATTCTATGAAATGCTGGAAATTGTGAGTGTTTTTTAATACCTTAAAAGCCTTATTGCATTTCCTTATTACGTCACTACACTCATCATTTCACCACGGAACTAACTTCCGTCTTTACATACCACCTTTTCTTATAATTGTCTGATTGGCAGCCCCAATTATTGCCTCTCTCACATTTTCATAAAAAATTTCTATATCCTGCTCTCTTTTTATATTTTTTTTTATTTTCTTCACTTACCTCTGTGAATTTATCCCACTGTGCCTTTGCAAATACCCACCTTTCTGATATATCTTCCAATTCCACCCTGCTTCCACTACCTACTTTACAAACAATAGGGTAATGATCACTTCCAACAGTTGTTTGATTCATGACTTCCCACAAACAAATACCTGCCAATGACTGTGACACTAATGTCAAGTCTAAACGTGACTCATTACCTGTATAATCATTTATCCTCGTGAAACTCCCATCATTTAAACACACAAATCCCACAGCATCCATCAAATCTTCCACTATCAAACCATTCCTATCAGTCCTTCTGATATTCCTAATCTTTTCATTTTAATTAATAATCCCTCTTTCCATAGTAAATCATAGGCTTTTTCCACATCAAAATATACTGCTACCACTACCTCTTTATTCACTTGTGCCTTCCTCACCTCTGATTCTAAGCATACTATAGGATCCATTGTTCCCCTACCTCTTCTAAATCCACTTTGATAATTTGATCTGAGGTTCCTTGTTTCCAAATAATATGATAATCTTTCTGTGATCATACGTTCCATTCTTTTACACATGTGAGATGTCAATGCTATTGGTCTATAGTTATATGGATTGGTGGGTTCTTTTCCTGTTTTCCTAATGGGTACTATAACTGCTTTTTTTCCAAATTCCTGGTAATTTCCCTTCCTGCCAAATCTTGTTATATAAATGTAAAATAACCTCTAACGCTATATCTGACATATGGTCCAACATGGTATAGCAGATTTGATCTTTTCCTGGTGCAGTAAGTCCTGATTTACTAATGGCCCTTTTCAGCTCCCCTAACATGAAGGGAGAGTTAATAACATCATCCCTCTCTTCTTCTCTTTCCAACAATTCTTTATTTGCGTCACTTGTTTTTTGTCTTCCCCTTTTCCCCTCTTCTAATATATTTCCAGAACTGTGAACCTCAACCAATGCTTTAGCTAACATGTCTGCTTTCTCTATATCATTGCTAGCCACCACCCCTCCATTTTCCAATACTGGGTATCCCCCCTCTCGTCTTATTCCACTCATTTTCTTTATCATTCCCCAAACTTGATTAATTGTTGTGCTTCTTCCTATTGAATCACAAAATGTTTTCCAATATTTTCTTTTAGTTTCTTTAATAGTCTTTCGAACCACTGCTTGCATTCTTTTATATTCTATGAAATGCTGGAAATTGTGAGTGTTTTTTAATACCTTAAAAGCCTTATTGCGTTTCCTTATTACGTCACTACACTCATCGTTCCACCACGGAACTAACTTCCGTCTTTACATACCCCCTTTTCTTATAATTGTCTGATTGGCAGCCCCAATTATTGCCTCTCTCACATTTTCATAAAAAATTTCTATATCCTGCTCTCTTTTTATATTTTTTTTTATTTTCTTCACTTACCTCTGTGAATTTATCCCACTGTGCCTTTGCAAATACCCACCTTTCTGATATATCTTCCAATTCCACCCTGCTTCCACTACCTACTTTACAAACAATAGGGTAATGATCACTTCCAACAGTTGTTTGATTCATGACTTCCCACAAACAAATACCTGCCAATGACTGTGACACTAATGTCAAGTCTAAACTTGACTCACTACCTGTATAATGATTTATCCTCGTAAAACTCCCATCATTTAAACACACAAGTCCCACAGCATCCATCAAATCTTCCACTATCAAACCATTCCTATCAGTCCTTTCCCCTCCCCAAAGAGTACTATGAGCATTAAAGTCACCACACCAAATAATCCTTCTACTATCTAATCCCTTTATTGCCTCCAATTTTTCCAATTCCAACCTCTGACATGGATTATAAAAATTCACAATGACCATCCTACCATCCCCTAACCAAACTTCCACAACTACATACTCCAGCTCTTTCCTTTTTTCTATTTCTCTATATGAAATACCTTGCCTAACAAAAGTAGCACATCCTCCCCCATTACCCCTTTCTCTATCCCTTCTTATACATACATATCCTTGAATCACAAAATCTAAATTAGGTTTAAGCCATGTCTCTTCAACACATATTATATCAGGTTTATTTTCTAACCCCTCAATAAATCCTTTAAACTCTTGGCCATTCGACAATAAACTCCTTGCATTCCACTGGAGAACTAACATGATTAGAATTAATCTTGTGACCATGATTCTTTGCTTATGTGTTCCTGTTTTTTTAGCTCTTCTTGTACCCCCCTCCCAGATATTCCTTGAATATTTAAGTATCTTGCTGCACTTTTTACAGTTATTTAAATTTTCTCAGACCTCCCCTTTGCTTGGAACGTGCAATTAATAACTTCAGCCATGAAATACACAAAATCCTTCTTTTTTACAAGTAACATATCTCCATCTTCTATCTGACTTTTTGTAATAACCTGTTCATTTGAATGTTCCTTTTCCATTTCTTTCCTTTTCTTCTCCACTCCTTTCTCCTTCTGAACCACCTTTACTGCGTTTGCATAAGATATGTCCTTGTTAACTCTTATTTGCTGTATTTCTATCTGACTTTTTGTCATAACCTGTTCATTTGAATGTTCCTTTTCCATTTCTTTCCCTTTCTTCTCCACTCTTTTCTCCTTCTGAACCACATTTACTGCGTCTGCATAGGATATGTCCTTGTTAACTCTTATTTGCTGTATTTCTACTGCCCTTTTCCTCACTTCACACCCCCCATATGTCACCATATGTGCACCTCCACAATTAGCACATTTAATCTCTGTCCCATCCTCACATTTCCCATACTTATGCTCCCCTCCACACTTTTGTTTTCCTTTAAATCCAGCTGCAATATGTCCATATTTTTGGCATTTGTAACATCTCAAAGGAGGAGGCACATATGCTCTTACATTATAACTCATGTAACCCACTCTCACTTTATCCGGCAACACCCTCTCTTGGAATACCAACAATATCGACAAACTATCAACCCTTTTTCCTCCTTGTCTTGTTTGCAGACGCTTAATTTCAATAACTTTCCCACCTCTTATGTTTGACTTCAAATCCTCCAACTTTTCCTCAACTGGGATTCCATATATAACGCCTTTCATAAAGGGTCCATCACCTGTCTTCTTGGCTTTCTCCACCTCTTTGCCACACACTTTAGTCATCTTCCTCACCTTTTCCCTTTGCTTCTCATCTTTACATTTGATTAACAACCTACCATCTCCCAACACTTTCGCCATCACAATTTCACCAATTTCCTCCTTCAAATTGCGAGTCAATGCCACCGGACTCACTTTTCTTATATCATGTCCTTCCTTGAAACTCATAATTATTTTAAACCCCTCGTCTTCAACCTCCCTCCTCCGCACTACCCTACATTCTTTACTCCCATCTGAACTACTGCCTTCTTTACTACTATTACTCCTAACTCGTTTGTTTCTCCGTACTTCCGTCCAATTATTTAAGTCCATATCTTCATATCCACCCTCACCGTCACTACTCCCTTCCATCCTTAGTCCAGTCACAGATCAGTTTATGCACCTCCGCGGTTTGAAAGAAACAAAGCAAAAACACTCTGACCTTCCTTTACATCCAGCTGCAATATGTCCATATTTTTGACATTTGTAACATCTCAAAGGAGGAGGCACATATGCTCTTACATTATAACTCATGTAACCCACTCTCACTTTATCCGGCAACACCCTCTCTTGGAATACCAACAATATTGACAAACTATCAACCCTTTCTCCTCCTTTTCTTGTTTGCAGACGCTTAATTTCAATAACTTTCCCACCTCTTATGTTTGACTTCAAATCCTCCAACTTTTCCTCAACTGGGATTCCATATATAACGCCTTTCATAAAGGGTCCATCACCTGTCTTCTTGGCTTTCTCCACCTCTTTGCCACACACTTTAGTCATCTTCCTCGCCTTTTCCCTTTGCTTCTCATCTTTACATTTGATTAACAACCTACCATCTCCCAACACTTTCGCCATCACAATTTCACCAATTTCCTCCTTCAAATTGCGAGTCAATGCCACCGGACTCACTTTTCTTATATCATGTCCTTCCTTGAAACTCATAATTATTTTAAACCCCTCGTCTGCAACCTCCCTCCTCCGCACTACCCTACCTTCTTTACTCCCATCTGAACTACTGCCTTCTATACTACTATTACTCCTAACTCGTTTGTTTCTACGTACTTCCGTCCAATTATTTAAGTCCATATCTTCATATCCACCCTCACCGTCACTACTCCCTTCCATCCTTAGTCCAGTCACAGATCAGTTTATGCACCTCCGCGGTTTGAAAGACACGAAGCAAAAACACTGTGCATGTCCAAGATGTGTCACTAGCAGCAGTCCTCTCCAGATAGCCCCCTGCGTTCAAGTCCTCCTGAGACGTTCTTACTTACGAGTTGACAAGTCGTAATTACGACGTCAGGTGCGCTCAAGTCAGTTTAGTTGGCACAAGATGGCGGTGTAGCCTACCTTCTTTTAATAAATTACAAGAAAATACAACAGGGTCTGCATTTTTTTTACTTGGAGGTCAGCTGCGTAACAAGAACATGACCAATTTAAGGTTATAGGACAACTAAGCTATCAATTTAAACAAAAATTTACCGTCATCTACAGACGTTGCATCCATCGATTCCGCCATGTTTCTCATTGACACGCCCCCAACTCGGAAACTCGGGGCTTAA